GCACAGTCTCACCTGCTCTGAAGACCCCTCACCTGTCTCAGAGTCTCCTTCCATTGCTGCACTTTCATTGCCAGGTACCATGTTTTGCTATTCATGCTCTTCACCTGCTCCTTTGAGTCTGACCCCTAGAAGTTACCCATGGCCTCCTTCCAGCCCTCCTCTCCTTGGCTTTCCTGCTGCCTGGGACATTCTTGACACTGTGCTCGTCATCCTCAGCTCCTGTCCTACCCCCGACCCATGCTCTGCCTGCTCAGTCCTGCTCTGCCCCCCGGAGACTCTCCTCTGGACCCCATGACCCAGGCTCCCAGCCCATTGGCTTACTGCTCGGTCTAAGCAGAGGGGGAGACTGGCGAGTTCAGACAGGGCTGCTCCTCTGGAGCCACAGCTCCTGCAGGTGCCCCTTTTCCACAGCTTCAGCGACACTGTTCTCTCCCTGTTCTTCCAGGTCAGGGTGTTAGCAGCTCCCTGTCTTTAGGCATCACCACCCCCTGCTGGCTCTCTGTCCTTCCCATGCTCTGTAAAGACCCGGTCAAAACTAATGGGCACTTGGACCCTTCTGTGTGTGCACCTGCTCCCGGAAGGGGACCTGGCCTCCCATAGCCTCTCCTTTTCGGTATTTATTCTACTTTTCTAGAGGAACGGACAGTCCGGAGCACTCTTCTGAGGGGCACATTCACTTCTTCCACACATATTTGCCAAACACTCACCATGCCCAGGCACCACGCAGGGTCCTGGAGAGGTCAGTAAACAGGAGAGGCACTTCCTCTTGTCATTGGCCCTGGCAGCGGTGCTGTGATTGTAAATCTGTAGCAGCTGGATTCTCGGAAGTCAATACCGTGGATTTTAGGAAGTAAAGTGAAGCCCTCAAATGCATCGTCAGAGAGTCTGGCACATACCTGGCCACCTTGGCCAAAAAGGCACATTCGGGCATCTAGTCTGAGCATGAGCTGAGAAGTCAGGATGCCCACCAGGGTGGAACTGGGGCCCCTGGCTTTGACCCCAGAGGTTGCATCCTGAAGATTGTTCTTGCCATGGCTGGGAGCACAGTGTCTTAAAAATGAAAGAGGGTCGTCAGAGAATCGCAGCCTTTCTGAAGAGAAAGAAAACAAGTTTCTCCGGGGAGAGGCTGGTTCCCCCACCAGCACCATGTGGACCCCACATGGTGGCACTGTTTCCCCACAATGCCCGTGCCTGAGTGATGTCACCAGTTCCTTCCTGGCACCCCATCCACCAGGAAGTGAATCCTAAGGCCAATGTGCGTCAGGGCCGCCCTTCTGAACAGCCTCTGACCACAAAACCCTTTTAAAATTAAGTTTCCGAGACGTCAGCAGGAGTGCGGGGGTCATCACTTCTGCCCGGATTGGAGTAGAAAGCAAGGCCATGGTCATGCAGCAGAACCACCTGTAGCCAGTCTCCTGCCCCACATCGCCAGCCCGTCCCCACACACGCAAACATCGCAACTCCTGAAAGACAAGACTATGATATCAGGCATTAGAGAGGCAGAGGACCCACACTTTCTCCAGCCTCAGGCCCAGCGTGTTGATCTCTACATTTTTGGCCCGAGGGGACAAGACTTCAGTGGGTGGGCAAAGGATTGATGAGCCAGGAAAATTGGCTCAAGGAGATGTGAGGAGATAGCTACCAGATGTTGACAGCAAGATACATGGGGACTTTGAAAATGTGCCCATCCATCAGCTTTGTCAAATCTAAATATTTTGCTGTATTTGAAAATGAAGAAAAGAAAAAGAGGAAAAAATAGTTCAGATGGGGGGTGGGGGGGAGGAGCTTGTTATCTCTTACATTCTGTTAGATGGAAGTTTACTAGTAAAGCATACTTATGTAACAGCAAAATGTATATATAATGCCATGTGTTAGTTTTCTTCTGTTGGTCCTTCTATGTTACATAAATCTCTAAGTGATAGAAACCTAGTGTTTTTATATGCATTTGGGGGGGGGGGCGGGCATTTGAAGTGCTTAAATTCATATATAGAGCTAGATTTTTTTGTGATTATTTTTTTTTAAAATAGTTTATTGATTTTTAGAGAGAGAGGAAGGGAGAGGGAGAGTAAGAGAGAAACATCAATGCGAGAGAAGAACATCAATTGGCTGCCACCTGCATGTCCTTACCAGAGATCAAGTCTGCCACCTCTGCTCGTGCCCTGACCAGGAATCCAACTGGCAACCTTTTGGTGCATGGGACAATGCCCAACCAACTGAGCCACACTGGTCACGGCTCTGTGATTATTATTACGGATTCTCAAAATTAGAAAATGTTAGGTTATCTATCTATGAATACCATATATATATGTATATAAAAGCCTAACCAACCGTCCAACCGTTCAACCATCCAACCAGTAGCTATGACATCCACTGACCACCAAGGGGCAGACACTCAACACAGGAGCTGCTGAGCTGCAGTGACTTGGCAGCTGTGGTTCTCGGGTGACACACCCGGAACCAGAGAGGAGAGAGCCCAATTCTGGGGGGTGTCACCCTGTCGCAATCTGGGACCCCTCAGGGAATGTCGGAGAGCTAGTTTCAGCCCAATCCCTGCAGGCCAGGCTGAGGGACCCCACCTGTATACACTAATCCATGCACCAGGCCTCTAGTTTAAATAAAACATTGCAGACATATCTGAAGCCCCTTACCAGTATACCAGGTATGAATGTATTTGGTTGAGATTTGCATTTCTTTGAACACTAGTGAAGTTAAACATTACTTATATGCCATTGGTTTTTAAATTTTCTTGTTTGTGAATTTCTTACCTATAACTTGCCAATTAAAAATGGTTTGGCCTTTTAATGATTAATAAATTCTGGCTACTAACCCTTTACCAGTTATATGCATTGCCAATGCCATCTCTTTGTGCCTCATCCTTCCTTTTATTCCTGGTGTCTTCCTTTGTACTCAAGCTTTTCATATGAACCTAGTCAAGTATCTTACATTCCCACCCCCCACCCCTTTATAGTGATGTCTTGCTGAAGAAGTCTTCCTGCATCCTGAAGTCATAAAAACTCTTATATTTTTGTCTAAGCATTTTATTGTTTGGCGAATGACATTTGGGTTTAGAATTGGTCTTTGTGTAAGCCATAGGGAGGAATCTCATGTTCTTTTCCTATCTCATGTAGATAGATAGTCTCGCCCTCCCCCTGGGGCAGGGGAGCAGGAGAAACCCAAGCTCTCTTAATCTGAGGCCACTGGTTCATTGGGAATCTCTCCTCTTGACTCCCAGCTGAGTCAACCACACCCCTCCATCCCCTCTTGGCTCCTGGAAGCACCTATCAGAAAAAGCTATGATGCCCCCTCCCCTCCCAGCACCTTTAACATTCCTCCAGCTGTAGCCATGATTACTTTGTATTGTCATTTTTTTCATCTATCTACTGTGTACACGTGTGTGAACACGCACACACTGCAGTGAATTCTTACGGGACCAGAGACCTAGAAGCATTGTGGTTAAAACTTCAGGATTTACCATTGACTAGCTGGGTGACTTTGGGAAGTTACCTAATCTCTCTGTGTCTCAACTTCTCCATCTGTAAAATGAGGGGAAGTACTGATCTAAGAGGGATGTTTAAGCCGCTAACCCATGCGGAGGGGTGCGGCCCATAAGAAGCACTTCATAAGTGCTGGCTTACCAGAGTGATTCTCTGTATCCCCGATCCTGAGCAGTGTCTGGCAGTTGGCAGGCACCCATGAGAACTTGTCCAGTGAATATAATTATAGGAGCTCTAGTCTGAGCACACCCTTTGGGTTTTGTTCATTTGTGAGGAACATGACCCCTGGATGGCTACTGAGGCTACGGCCAGAGCAATGCCAGCAAGAAGCCCACATCGGGGAGATGGTGGTGAAGGGGGGCTTCCTCATGGGTTTGTAGACTGCAATACAGACCCAGACAGAGCGCTACCAGAACCCGGAACTATGAAGGAGCAGAGGTCAATGAGGTGTAATTAATGCCAATGACCTTGTCAACGCCCGGTCAGGCAGGTGGGAGGTCGGGTACAGCAATGGCCTGCCTCCCGCAGTCAGACCTGGTTGCAGGAGGAGGACTCGGTGGGAAGAGCAACATTAAGTACAGGGGAGCCAAGGTGATGCTCAGAGTATTTGCGCCCGCCATGCTCCCCGCCTCCCTCACCCCTGTGCTTGGCCCTTCAGGTCTGCGTGATCACACTCCCCTGGAGCCTCAGACTGGGGACAGACCGTGTCCTCCAGGCCGGGAACCTGGGAGAAGGTGATGTCAGCAGGGATGTCACAAGCAACAGTCATCCAAGAACAGACCTCATCCTCCCACACCAGCCTGTGGACCTCAAGCCTCCACCCTTCTCTCCCTCCCTTTCTGGTCCTCAGGTTCCATCCTGTGGGCAAGGCTGAGGTCCCATCATGACTGAAGGCGAGCAAGGTACTGATGGAAAAGTCCCAAACCAGCCACCTGAGCAGGAGGCAGCGAACTCCCAGTCCTGGGAGAGACGGGAGCAGAGACCGCCTGACACTGGAATCTCACAGAGGGGTCTGGGGTCCCCGTTGGCTGTTGGATTCGATGACCTTTAATGTCACTCTTGAGAAGTGATGAATCTGCGATTCCAAGTCATCCTCCCCCTAATGTGGCAGGACACACCCTTTCTGCCCACACAGGGCCTGGGGTTCCGGGGCTCAGGGTCCCCCCTCAGGGCCTGTCTCCAGAGGGCCCTGTGGGCGTGGACTTCGGGGAAGCAGGCACCTCGCTCACCGCTCTGTTTGCCTGAGACGCAGTGGGCGGAGGGAAGGCAGAGGAGCCCCGGGCAATTCTGATGAAGCTGTGTGGGCCCTGCCAGAGGATGGATTAGAATCAGGAGGCCAAGAAGGAGGAGAGGAGCTGGGGTGGCAGATAGAACTTTCCAGCCGGGCCTTGAGGCCCTGAGGGGACAGTTAAGGGAGGGGCTCTCACGGGGACAGTCACCAGCAGAGGAACTTTCCTAACCGTTAGGATTTCACAGCCAGGTCAGGAAGGAAGTGAGACCAGAGAGGGGGGTGAGGATTGGGTTACTCAGAAGCACTGGGTCCCAGGCCCTCTCCAGTCAGAGGGGAGTGGGCAGGTATCCAGAAACCCCTTGGTCCCCATCTGCCCCGCAGCCCTCAGACTCAAAGCTTCTCTCCTCTGGGTGATAAGGCTTTTCTTCCTTTGTTCACCTTCCTCATCTCCTCCGCAGGAAGGATGGATCTTGATGGTTTGGGACCATCTCGGCCACAAGAAGTCACCCGTCCCTGGGAGAGCAGCCCTGTGCCTCCCACAGGTGCTTACTGTGAAGTGACTTCTGCCTTCTGACCCTGGGCTCCTCCTGGGCAGCCGGCTGGGGCGCAGGGCTCAGTTTTTAGTGATGCTGGCATATTCCACAGTCAGAAATGGGTCAGGTGTGGGCCTCAGGCCGGGGCGGGTGTTGATGTAGATGGGGTCCTCGAGGCTGAAGGGGTCCAGGTGGGTAAATGAGGCATAGTGGATGTCCCCAGTGTCCTTGCCAGAGCCTAGCTGCTTGTCGGAGCCCTGGGAATCAAAGGCAGACAGATGTCCGCTGTATGGATCACAGCTGGGAGCGGTCAGGGGCCCCCGGGTGTCCAGAGCTGTGCGGAGGATAGGGACAGGGATAAGGTATGGGACAGGGTGTGGGTCCTGCAGGAACTCTGGGGATGGCAGAAGGCAGCAGTGCACCGTCACTGAACATGATTAGAATGAGGAAGGTGAAGAACCAAGATGCCGGTGTAGGTAAGCATGGTACTCGCAGCCTCCCACAACCACATCACAATTATAACTAAAATACAGAGCGACCATCATTCAGAACCGCCAGAAAGCTGGGTGTTGGAAGTCCTACAATTAGAGAAGTAAAGAAGAAAGTACACTGAGACTGGTAGGAGGGGCGGAGGTGTGGAACAGGCTGGTTCAACAGACACGTGTAGCGTGTTTTTAATCGGGAGGGATATCTTGGCTGTGGAGGCCTCTTGTGAGAAGCCTCACACCAGACCCTTCAGCTCAGGTTTCCAGTGCCGGGAGGGGAAGTCTCCTGAACTTTGAGCTATAAAAACCAGTGGGGATTGTGGCTGAGTGACACGGAGGCTGCTGGAGTTCCTCTTAAAGGGCCAGTGCATGAACTTACTTGGATTTGCTCCCTCTGTGCTCCAGTGCTCGGGTAATGGCTTAGGGGGATCCAGGGACATACAGAGAGGAACTGGATTGTCTGGCATTGGAGCAAGAACTCGGGGGTAGCTTTCTCCCAGATAGGGGTGCTCACAAGGTTCATTGTTCCTATGCTGAGACCTCCACGGTCACAGAGCTGACTAGCAACTGCATCTCAGTCTCCATAAACCTGGTTTACACTGTTTGCTCCACCCTGGTGATTCCCTGAGACCCTGCCTCATCCAATTTGCCACCCTACTCAAGCTGTTTGCAGCTCCTTTTCCATATGATTGGCCTGTCCTGGCTCAGGCTTTCCTAAAATCTCTCAAACAATCAGCAGTTCGTGTCAGCATGCCTCATATTTATCAATAAGAGGCCCAAGACCAGGCACTAGCAGCAGCCTGTCTTGCTTCACAGCTTGGCCTCTCCTGGCTACTTCCAAGCCCAACACAAGTAGCAGCTATCTGCAGATCACTCTGTAGTTCCTGGGGGCAGTGGGTGGGGGGGAAGGCAAGCAGTGGCTGACTTTGCACCTCCTGAGGCCCCAGAGCCAGTGTACCCAGTGGACATTTTCATACCACAACAGATTACAACTCTACACACCCACGAGTGACACACTAAGGGGCAAACTCAGTGAACACCAAAGCCCCACTGAAGCAAGTCCTGCTCCATAGGGGTATCTCCTGCACAGCAGCTCTTCTGCTGTAGTCACAGCGGGTCTTTGCAGCCAATTGGCCTGGAAGTCAATTCCTCTCAGCGATGCCAATAGCAATCAAAGCTCAACTACAACAAGACTATGCACACAGCCCACACAGGGCTGCACCTAGAGTGCCTAGCTCAGATGACTGGGGAGGCTGAGCCACTGGGCCCTACAGGACACCTACTACACAAGGCCACGCTACCAATTCCAAGAGACATAGTAGCTCTACCTAATACATAGGACAAACACAGAGAAGCTGCCAAAATGCAGAAACAAAGAAACATGTCACAAATAAAAGAACAAAAGAAATCTCCAGAAACAAACACTAAATGAAATGGAATCAAACAAACTACTAGATACAGAGTTCAAAACAATGATCTTAATGAGAGCTTCAAGAAACTTGATAATTTCAAGAATCTAAATGAGAATTTCAAGAACCTTAGTGAGAACATAAAAAAAAAAAAAAAAACATGAAAAAGAACCAGTCAGAAATTAAGCCTACACTAACTGAAATAAATAATAATTTACAGGGATTCAAAAATAGAGTAGAGGACACTGAGAATCAAATCAGTGACTTGGAATATCAGGAAGCAAGAAATACCCAGTCAGAAGAGCAAAAAGAAAAAAGAACCCAAAAATATGAAGATAGTGTAAGGAGCCTTTGGGACAACTTCAGCATACCAACATTCTCATTATGGTGGGTGCCAGAAGGAGAAGAGAGAGAGCAAGATACTGAAAAACTGTCTGAAGAAATAATGACAAAAAACTTCCTCTATCTGGTGAAATAAATAGTCTTGCAAGTCCAGGAAGTGCCGAGAGTCCCAAACAAGAGGAACCCAAAAAGCGGCCCACACCAAGATACATCATAATTAAAAGGTAAAGATTAAAGACAAAGAGAGAATTCTAAAAGCAGATAGTTACCTACAAGGGAGTGCCCATATGACTGTCAGCTTATTTCTCAACAGAAACTTTGCAGACAAGAAAAATTCAAAGTGATGAATAGTAAGGACTTACAACCAAGATTACTCTACCCAGCAAAGCTGTCATTTAGAATTGAGGGTCAGATAAAGAGCTTCACAGACAAGAAAAAGCTAAAGGAATTCATCACCAACAAACTAGTATTACATGAAATGTGAATGGGTATTCTTTAAGAAGAGGAGGAGGAGGAAGAAGAAGAAGAAATATGAACAAAAATGGCAATAACTACATACCTGTCAACAACTGAATCTAAAAATCAAAAGAAACAAGTAGTCTAATGAACAAAATAACTGAGGAATAAGATAGACCAGAGCCATGAAACATGGGATAGTCTGACAAATCTCAGAGGGAGGAGGGGTGGGGTGGGGAGAGATTAACCAAAAATTTTTTTTTAATATATATTTTATTGATTTTTTACAGAGAGGAAGGGAGAGAGATAGAGAGTTAGAAACATCGATGAGAGAGAAACATCAATCAGCCGCCTCCTGCACATCTCCTACTGGGGATGTGCCCGAAACCCAGGTACATGCCCTCGTCCGGAATCGAACCTGGGACCCTTCAGTCCGCAGGTCGACACTCTCTCCACTGAGCCAAACCGGTTTCAGCTGATTAACCAAAAAATTTACATGCAGATGTGATTCACCTATGGACACAGACAATAGGGTGGCAAAGGCCTGGGGCAGGGTGGGAACAGGTGGAAGAGGGCAATGGGTGAAAAAAGGGGGACATCTGTAGTACTCTCAACAATATAGATATAAAAGAAACGAAAAAAGAAAAGAATAAGGAAGGCTACACAGAGTACAGTCCAGTCAGAGGGCCAGCAGCACCATCTCAGTCTCCACCCAGATCTATTAACCCAAAGTCTCCGGGGGGTGGGACCCAGAGTGGCTGAGCCACTGGCCATCATGATCCAGCAGATAAGTTGGCATTAAAAGCTGTCTCCCACAGAGGGGAGCTTGGTCAGTCAGCTTCTCCCTCCCTCTCTGAGGAGTTTGAATTGGGAAATTTGGGGAAAGAACATGCATAGACAAGGCATTAGGGGCATGATCAGTCACAAGTGAGTCCAGAAACTGTAAGTAAACAGAAGCCAGGAAGTTGGAAGAAGAAGAAAAAAGAGGAAAGGGAGGGGGAGGAGGAGGAGGAGAAGGAGAAGGAGGAGGAGAAGTAGGAGAAGGAGAAGGAGTGGCAGCAGCTCAGCCGGTGTGGCTCAGTGGTTGAACGTCAACCCATGAACCAAGAGGTCACCATTTCTATTCCTGGTCAGGGCACATGTCCGGGTTGTGGGCTCGATCCCCAGTAGAGGGCATGCAGGAGGCAGCCGATAGATGTTTTTCTCTGGTCGATGTTTCTATCTCTCTATCCTTCTCCCTTCCTCTCTCTCTAAGATCAATAAAAATTAAAAAAGAACAATAATGAAAACAAAGATACCCAGGAAAGCTGAGAGTCCCTCTGACGTGCGGGGGGATCCGTCCGATGCACAGTCTCATCCTCATGGGTGGAAATGCCATGGATGTGATGGGCTTTGCCCTCACCTGTGAAAAAATAGGTTTAAAGGAGAGACCTCTCTCTACCTCTCTCCTGGCAATTCGGGTGATGCTGGAGGACCTGGCTGGGTAGAAGGGACCCTGCCTGACGGGGGAGAGGCTGGGCTTGGCTGGGAAGTGCCATCCTGCGGGAGGTCCGCCAGCACAGATCAGTGCCAGAAAGCAGACGTTAGTGCTAAACTAGGGAGCAAGTCCGATTGGCTGTCTGCGTCTAATTTGCATCAAGCCAGTAAACTTGATCAATTCTAGGTCCACAGACACATCACTGGGTATGTGGTTACTAAACACAGCGCGAATGTGCTGAACAAACCAACAAAAAACAAGGTAGGAATCATCAAAGGGCACGGGGACAATCTTCTTGCACAAAATGCTGTAGATTTTACACGTGCTCAATGCTGAAACTTGGAACTTGGAGATTAAAAAGCGCTCCAAGTGCTTTTAGGAAGGCGATGTTTAAATGTGATAGCAACGATGAAAAACACAATGCCACAAACCAGAAAGGCCTTCAGATCAATTTGTTTTAAAATCCTGAACTACAAAATGATGATAAAATATCTGGTCTCAAATGGACACTAGAATACCCAGCGGTAGGCAAGTTGGCGCTGGCTTCTCAGCCTGTTTCCTCGTTGGTAACGGGGCATGAGCCTGTCTCCCGGCTTGTGGGCACCTCACATGGGCGAGCACTGGGCGGTGTGCTCAGCCCCAGCGGGTTTACCTGCCCTGGCTCGTCGCCGTTGCCAGAAGTACAGGATCACCAGGAGGGCCAGCACCAGCAGCAGCAGGAGCACCACCATCACGCTGAGGATGACATTCCCGTGGCCTGAGGGGCTTGGGAACAAGGACCAGCCAGGTGAGGCGAGAAGGCGCCAGGCTTCTGCGGGGAACTCATCCCTCCCCAAGCCCATGGTCTGGACGCTCCTGCTGAGCTGGCCAGGAGACAGCCCCAGGCCAAGGTCTCTGCCTATCCAGCCTCTGGGCGTGTTTCCTTCCCCCTCTGTAAGCAAGAATGCTGACCATGTCTCCAGGTTTGCTCTGACTGCGTGCTGTCCCCTATCTGGCCTTCGGGGCCCCTGTTTTGGGATCTGTTCTCACCTCTCCAGCATCTTCCCTCAACTGCTCTTGGTCCCAGGCCCTCACCCTCAGCCCTTGGCTGAGAGATGCAGTCAGCTCTCGGAGAACACTGGTGTCCTTTGACAAAGAGCTCTGTACACAATAAATGCATTCTCATAGGCCCTGTCTTCAGTCAAAGGAAGAAAAGGTAGACTTTCTCACAACACAGCAGGCTCCTAGTGCCTGGTGTGTCAGGTGTCGTGGGGCGAGGCCACAGCTCTGGGGACACCGACTACTCAGCTACACTGACCAGCACCCTTAGTGTCTGGTGCAATGCGTTGGAGAAGAAACTGGAGTTTGCAGGGGCTCAGGATTTGCATAACAGAGGGTGGAGAGAGGGTGGGCAGACAGAGGTGGGAAGAAAACCAGCCCTCAGGCCAGTCGCAGGGGTGGGGGTGGGGGTGGGAGCGGTGGGCAGGGGGGGCCTGGGAACCATGTGGCAGAGGTAGAGGAGTCAGGCCATGGGCTGTGGTCACTGCCATGAGCCTTTGCCTGGACCCTGTGGCTCCCCTGAAAGGAGGAGATGGGCTGGAGCAGGGAAAAGGGAAAAGGAGCAGGCCTGGCACTGGGTCCTTTGTGATCCCGGAGGCTAACTTGCCAATGTCTGGAGACATTTTCGGTTGCCTGGGTACCTGGTACAGTGGGTACCTGGGGGAGGTGTGTGCTATTACTGGCTAGTGGGTAGAGGCCAGGGATGCACACAACAGCCCCTCCCAACAAAGAATTGTCTGGCCCAAATGTCAATAGTGGCAAAGGCAGCAAACCCTGTCGTACGGTGGGAAAGTTACTGACTCCATTTTGCAGATGAGAAAACTGAGGCTCGAAGAGGTAAAGTGACCTGAAAAGGGCCCCATTTCATCCCCCTGAGAACCAGGTGTCCATGGGAACGTGTAGTTGGAGGTATCTGGCACGGCTGGCAATGGATGGGAGGCAACGGAGGTGTAAGAGGACAGGGAGGGGGGACAGTACCTGTCAATGACAGGGCTGATGGCTGAGGTCCCGGCTGTGGTCCCGGTGGTCCCGGTGGTCCTGGTGGTCTTGGTGGTCGTGGTGGTGGGCGGGGTTGGAGCTGTGAGAGACGACAGTGAGGGGAGCACTCCTCTCTGTTTGCCCCACACTCCAAGGCTCGGCCTTCCAGCCCCAGCCCTGGGCGGGAGAAGCCCACACATGGCCTGGACCAAGTGAGGCCTGAGAAGCACCGCATGCCCTGCGAAGGCATGGAGGCGGGCAGTGCCCTCAGGGCAAGTGGCTGTAGAGGAGACGTCATGCTGTCTCTTGTATGCTGGCTGTATTCTATGGTCTCCTCTGTTTCCATTGTTTTTTAGCAAGTCGTGCATGTTCAACCTGTAATACCGCCCTCCTACCCTCCAAACCCTTTTGCCTCCCCTGGATAAATTCCTGCTCATCCAACCAGGCCCCTGTAGTGCCACCTCCTCTGGGGAGTCCTGCAGGCAAGTCCATACTCCTGGCCTCACCAGCAACCTGGCCCCCTCCCGCCTCTGGGATTCCATCCAACATGCCTTCATTATGCCACCCACCACCCTGCATCATAACCTTTTATTTATATGTCTCAGGGTTCCCATTCCCCTTCCAGGGCCTAGCCCCGTGCCCTGCATGCAGTGGGCAATGAGCCCAGGCTTGGGCAGAGAATGACCAAGCAGCTGATGTGTGTGCGCCAGGTCCCCGGCTGACCGAACAGCTGGGCAGGCTCGGCAGCCGGGCGGGGGTCTTCAAAGGTACTGTTTAACCCTTGACCATCACAGGGAAATGTAGGGGGGCTGTGCACCTCTGAAGCTTTCAGGAGGCATATGGAGGAGGGGCCCAGGGTTAGGAGGAGCCTCAAGCTTCCCAAGCTGAGGCTGAAGATCACTCATGTATCAGGGGGGGTGCAGGGTGGGACCCAGGCCCTCTGAGCCCTCGGCCCCTGCAGCTTCCAGCCTCACCCTGAATCCCACGTCTGCTCACTGTGTGTGTCCCCTGCCTGTCCCCATTCCCTGAGCCCAACAGAGTCACCTGTGACCCGCCTCAAGCACAGTCCTTGGAGAGAAGGTTGGGATTGGGGTCAGGGGGAGGGGTGCCCGGAATGGACCCATAAGCCAGGCTTGCGCAAGCCTGAGGCAGCTTGGTGATGGGTATGAGTCAGCGGGGAGCCCTGTGAGCAACAACAAGTGTTCAGAGAAGTGTGTGCGCTGGGGAAGGGAGAAGCCACGGAAGCCGGCAGTCTGAGTTCTGGCGCTGGTTCTGCCTGTAACCAGAGGCGACCTAGGGAAGGGGCTCAGAGATCAGCCACAGGGGCTGGGGGACCTGATTAGGTCCTTTCCAGCATCATCTTCCTGTGGTTCAGGGAACCTGAGAAGCACACACAGAGGGAAGGACTCACCCGGAGATACAGCCAGACGGATGGCTCTGAGATTAATGATCTGGGAAGATTCGTAGATCCTACACAAATATAAGCCAGAGTCCTTCACTCTGAGCAAAGTCATGGTGACTATGAAGAACCCCCATTGGGGGTAATCCCTGATGATGAATCTTGGGTCTCCAGTCTCGGCAAGGGGTCTGGGATGGGTGACTAATGGGATACAAGTTCTTGCTGATGTTACTCTGCACCAGGTCTTCACAGCTCTCTGGACTCGATAATTGCACCTTACGGAGACTTCCTCCCCTTCCAGTATCTGTAGCAGCTCTGCCTGCTGTTCCCAGGAGCCTGAGAATAAACCCTCAGGTCAGGGAGCCCCACAGCCTGCTGCAGAGCTGAGAGGGACCCCCTCCTCAGGAAGTCCTCTCTGCTACACTCAGTGCCCCCCCAGCCCCCCCCCCCCGCCTGGAACTTCTTCCCCATGCCCCCTCAGGCCCACTCACTAGAGACCCTCCCCCTCTTCCCCTCCGCATAGGCCCCACCTTAGGGCAAGAGTACTATAATGACAAAGGGCAGACGGTGGGGGGCTTCCTAGGCAATGCCCTCTGTCTCTGCTGGGGGGGGCGCTGCCCCCCCTGTAGAGAGGTGTCAGAACTTGGGGGTCTACACCCCCCCAGACTTTTCTTGGAAAGAAAATATAAAAGGCAAAACATCCGGGGGTAAGGTGCTAGGAGAGGGGAGGCTGTGGCTTTTACAGGAACCTCCCCCGCCCCC